TCTTGTAATTTATGTTCTTAAGTACAACAAAAATGCAAAGTGATTTACAAAACAAGACAAATTGCTTGAGAATAATTTTCTCTTGAAAAGACAGTCTAGGACTACTTTTGAATCACTTTATTTCAGGTTATAGTATACTTGAAGTTGCAACAATAAGTAATTAAACCATATCTTCCAACATGGCACATTTTGTGAAGAAACTTGGCAATGTCTTAGAAAGAAATGTCTGCATAATTCTTCATATCTGGCCAACAAAAAACACAAATGTTCTTCCTACATTTCTCCTTGACAAGGTATATAAATTTATTCTGTTTATCAAAGTCAATAATGACAAGTTGTTCAACATAATATTGGACCTTTGACTTTGTTGGAAATTTCACAATGATGGAATAATCAACTGTTAATGTAATGCTTTATTCTGCCACATGCGACTAATCTTGAATAGTCTATATATAGAATACAAATGGGTGCATTTTATTCCACTGGGAAAGGTGTGCTTACTCCAAGTATCAAAATTTCATGAGGTAAATGCACCCTGGTCTGTTGTGACAAAACACTTGGATCAAACATTTCACAACTTACAAATCTACTGTATTTAAAATCCAGTATTTGTGATCTTGAGATACAATGTTTAGATGAATTTACAATATTTATGTAATTTACAATATTTATGTAAAAATTGTATCTTTCACAAATACTGGATTTTAAATACAAAAATAACTGTACAGAAGAAAAGACCAAACTTATCCAGACTTTTCAAACCTATGTTGCAACCTAGAAGAAGTCATGTTTAAACTAACTTGAACACTAACAATACTTGTACAGTATTTTTGTGTTACAGATCAATGTATTGATATCAGTTAATTTTGATTCTCTGATATTATGGAAAGGTGCAGTTAGCTAGGAGTGCATTTAATTCACTTGACCATATTATTGTTTTAAACTCTCTTTTATGAATTACAGTACAAAAATGTAATGTATTCACTTATTGGTTCCCCTCAGATAATGTTTAAGGCTTGGTTAATCAGTGTCCTATTGTATTTCCTTTTAATGGTCTTTTTATAAAAAGTAACCACATTATTATTAATTACAGATAAAGAAAAATATTAACTTAATACCTAAATTTAAAAACTATTAATTACATTTGACAAATAATGTATTTGTGATAACAATATACATTACTTTACAAAAAACAGATAAGTAAAAATAATTATTCTTAAAATTTTTTTTATAAAAAATAAAGCAATATATCTCTAAAAACTCAAATCTGTCATTATTATAAAATACTGAATATATAGCATCTCAAGCATTTTTGAGTTATAAATGCTCATCTTCATATAACAACATATTTTTAATAAACAAGATTTTTTATATGAAAGTGTATTAATATACATGAAATTATTCTTTGTACACTAAGGACAAGCAATTAAAAATTCTCATAGAAATTACAGTATTTCAATCTGGCAGAATTTTATAATACAGTACAATAATACCTCCATTTACACAAATAATTGGTTCTATGAAAACATAAACGGAGCCGTGGAAAGTCATTTAAAATAGAGATCTATTCTCAAATACAGTATTTTACTCTTAGTGGAGTAGAAAAGTTTTAACTAAAGTTTTTTTTAAATGTAAATTTGTATAAGAGGTAGTAATCTCTCATACAGATTTACATTTTAAAAAACTTTAGTTAAGTTTAGTGATAAGGATAATTGTTTATAAGTCATACACCAATATTTTCTCTCTCAATTTTATTTATGGCATATAAACAATTACCAAAAATTCAATTTGTATAGATTTATACATTAGTACATTCACAGATTAACATTCACAGATTAAGAAATGCACTGTATTCTTAATCTGCGGATATATGCTTCAGTGTGTATGTAGATATTTTATATATATGAATGTGTATATAGTAGGAGCAAGTGATAAATCATTTAATAAACTTTTTAATGAATGTTATTGAAATAATATTAAATTTATAATTTGCCTTAGAGTAAAAAATCGATTACGCATGTTACCTCAGTCAGTCTATACTGTACCTTAAAGTAAACAAACGTACACACATGAATCTCGTGTTTACTCGACTGCCTCTATTTTCACGTGCATACCTCAATCCGCCATGTTGAAAGATAATCAAATTACTGTCAGCTGTGATTTCTATCGAATTCGTAATTTATATATTTTGGCGTTTCCGTATTTAAATTATTCCAAATATTTTAGTCAAATAATTAATAATATAAGAAAATATAGATTTTTTTCCAATCGTAAAATATTCAAAATGACACGGGCAGAAAATATGGATTGATTTTTCCACCAATTTATAAAATATTGATAAACAAATTGCTGTACTGTATTTGATAAATGTTTAGGATTAATACTGAACAACACATTAATTATGCTTATCGTATTTAAAATGTTAAAAAGGATAAAAGCGCGATTCTGAATGAGAATATAGCAATGCGGGCCAGATGGCCGAGCGGTCAAGGTGACAGCCTACCGCTCTGGGGGACCCGGAATCGATCCCGGACGGATCGAAAAATCCCCAGGAATTTTTCGGGGGTAGTCCGTCCGGATATGTCGGGTCGCGTCTCTCGCCATCCGGCTGCCCCATTGTGGGCCAGGCCGAACCCATAATGGGCTTGCTAAAGAGTTAAAAAAAAAAAAGAGGGTCAGCAATCTGATTTTTGGAACATATCTACTTCTAAGAATACTGTTTATTGTAAAATTTAGAATAATGTTTAAGGTATTCAATAAAGCAGGAAATTATTTACAGTATATACAATACGTCTATAACTATTAATATATTATGTATAAAATATGCCAATTGGTAGCTAAAATTAATAAAATTATAACTTATACAATATTTTTTTATATTTAATAAATGAGTTATTTTTCTAATTAAAAATTAGGATAAAAATTGAAAAGTCCAAAAAGAAAAAACAGAAACCTTTGAAAACTTGAAAGAACGTTAGAGCACTTGCTCGACAATTAGTTAATTTATAGAAAATATACATTGAAATAATTTTCATTAAACAATATACAATATAAAAAAACAATATAGGCCTACAGTAATTTAAATTTTCTAATAATATCCTATGATCTCCTTTAGATCCCTTTGGATTTCCAAAGAACTCAAATTCTATCAGACATTACTGTTAAAACATTTAACATTTAAGCAGTTTTGTTTCAATTTATTGGATTTTTTAACTAAAATTCATTTCTGCCAAAAAGAGAGTCGAGTAAGCGAATGCCATTATTTATAGTGCTCCAAATATTTTTAAATTGGATTCAGATCTGGCGATTACGAAATTATTTTCACTGAAACATTTTCGTCAATTCGACTCTATTTGATTTGACAGTCGGATGGCCGAGACCATTAAGACATCAGCCTACCGGTCTACGAGATCAAATCGGGCAAGCCGAAAAATTTCCAGGAATTTTTCATTGGCGGATATACTGTTTCGAACCTCGATTCTTACCACTTGTCCGTCCCACTGTGAGCCCGCCATGATGGGCATGGAAAAAATCCTCTTAATGATCGTAGGGCAGAGAATTAGAGTTAAAACAAAACTTTATATATAATATATATATCATATCATGTAGTTTTGTATTATATATATTTGTAATATTATATACTATGTATTGTTATTATGTCTGATTGTAAATCTTTATAATCTGATTGTATTATTGAAATACAATCATGAGGGAACACATGAGCGATCCGTCAAAAAGGTTTCCTGTCGGGAGGACTTTCTAGCCGTCCTCATTGTGGATTCCGGCCATACTTTTAATGCTTACAAGACAGAGTCAAAAATGAAAAATTATCCAGTCGCTTTATTATGTGTCTGATGAAACCGCACGAATATGATTAAATGGCTCTTAGTGCTCTCGGGACAGATATAATCAAAAACGATTGCTTTCAACTTTCTTCGTTTTAATTAATATTCTTTGAAATATACACACATACGTCTAAATCAAATTTTATTTATTAGTTTTTCTTTGTTAAAGTGAATATCACAGTAGCCGGATATTAATGATTGACAATATGCCGTTTGTGTTAATGGTTAAATTCTTTTATGTCATACACGTCAAACAGTGCCGTAACTAGCCATTCCTGTGCTCCGTGCAAGAATTTGCATTTAGACCCCTTAATTAACATTGTCAGATCTAGGAATTTTTTTCCTAGATTTAGAGAATTTCAACTGCCACAAGAGAAGAGGATGGTCCACCAGAGGCCAAGCAGTTTTCGTTACCTGAACACTGGGAATTCGGTAGTGGGTTCGCGCCTCGCTCGGACGTGGAGAAAGCCCGGAAAACTCCACGTCTGTAACTCCTAAATAGTTTTTCTTGAAAAGACCTCCCGGAAGGCACCCCCTAGGCAGATCGCTCAAGTGTTGCGTTGCCAGAACTAAACAAACAAACAGAAAAGGGATATTTTCGCAAATCTTTTGAACCTTTGGCAAAACTTTTTGTTTCCAATAGCTTAATTGGTTAAAAAGAAAAGTTGAAAATTTCGCCAACAATTTCATGATGTAATAATAAAACTTTTTATTTGCCTTTACTAAACTAATTTTTTTTTTTAACTCTTTCCGCCCTGTGGGCACTAATATGGTCTCTTTCTAGTGAGCCATTATGGATTTGGACAGGCCTACAATGGGGCGGCCGGGTGGTGAGGGATAAAGCCCAACTTATTCGAACGGACCACCCCGAAAAATTCCTGGGGAATTTTCGACCCGTCGAGTCCGGATTCGAGTCCGGGTCTCCCAGAGGCAGTAGGTTGTCACCTTGACCACTCGGCCATCCGTCCCTTACTAGTCTGTACATGTTAGCATTACTATTATCTAATAGAACTAATACAGTTTATATAAACCTCTATAATTACACAATCAATATTACGCTATAATATATTCTCTAGAGAAATCTAGGGAATTTTTAGACAAAAATCTAGGAAAACTTTACAATTTTACCTGGCAACCTGCCCTGCGTATGATTCCGCCAAAATATCGCGTTTTGAATCGGGGGTGTTCCTCTTTCTCGACGATTGTGAACCAGACGCGAATAAAATGAACGATTCACTAAAAAATTCAGAAAAATTGCTTAATGACTGATCTATTATTAGTTTCACCATACTGAAATAATAAAAAAGTAACCAATTAAAATCCTTTTCTTTCACGAGATGTCGCATCCACGTGTTAAAAAGGGTAATCGCATCCGTACCTCCGTGATTGCATCACTGAGAGATAACACGTGTGTTGCATGTGAACGAAAGGGTAAAAGGTTGATAAGTAATTTTCAGTTCTTAAATTTGTAAGCTTTTGTTCTTTTGCTAATATTTAGTTTATGAAATCGAAGATTGTGCAATTCGATTATAAAATTCAGAATTTGTCACAAGATTCCTTTGATATATTGTTACGTGAATGTAAATGAAAAATTTTTTCTTGCTTAAATTAATAAGAGCATACGTTTTTCATACATTATAGGTATTTTGCTGATGATATACCAGTTCAAGCTTATTCAAATTAGGCTAGGACAGTTGCATATATTAGTTAATTGAATTTTAATGTAATATCACATAATTTATAAGTTTACGTATTATATAAATTATACACTACTAGTCAAGTTTTCAAATTGAATAATTGTAGATTTAAAGTAGTCATTCTTAAAGCTGTATTACAAACATTTAGCTTTAGTATATGCACTAATTATTGATTGTAGGATACACTGCCAGAGTTCCAAAATGAAAAAAACTGTGTCTATATAATATACATGGAAATAGTTTATTATATTTTTAATAACATGAAACATGTTTTAAACGTAGTTAATCCCTAATTTATAATATTTTGACAAAAAATATTTGAAATTATATAGTTTTCCATAAGTATGTCCAGTCTTTAATTGGATTACACATGCAACAGTTTGGCGCATTAATGTTTAATCACACTCAGCATTTTTTAAGAGACCTTTTCCCATAGATAATTATAAAATACAGAACATTACTTATTTTTAGCTATTGCTAGAACTTGGGGTGTGATCTATTATTAGTTTTACCACACTGAAATAATAAAAAATCAATTAACTTGCAATATGCTTTCCTCTTTACTAAAGTCTAGGACAGGTGGTGAATCTATGGCATGCATGCTGAAAGTTACATGCCAGAGGATTTCTCCCTACATGCAACTTATCATGCAATTTCATCTGTCTTTTTCAATTGGCTTCTTGAAGGATTGTAAAGTAAACATTGTTGCATTGTCATTACAGAAATTGCTTTTAGCCCTAAGTATAATTAAATTAATTAAAATATCTATAACCATAAGGCAGATAATAGGAAGGGCTTATTTTTATTTAAATATTTTTAGCACCTAAACCAAAAGACTGGATTGGGCTCATTCAAAGTTCAACAATGGAATCTGATGTTTCAATTTTGAGTAGAGCAACTAGCAGCAATTTTATTACCATTCTGTTCTTAGGTGTAAAATATTGCACAACAACAGGAAATATCTTTTTGTTGCATGATTGGAAGCATTAGTGGAAATAGAATAAAACTTTTATTTGTTATTTATATCATTAATAGCATCTTTCCTGGAGTTGGGAGTGATCACATTTTTTATCAAGACTATAGATTTAGTTCTAGCACTATTGAATTTTGTTTTCAGGTTTATATATGTCCAAACATTCCATAAATATGCTGGAAAATGTCTGTCTTTCCACTGTGGATGATGCTGAATGTACAGCGGCACAATTTATACAAGACTTCATATTCATTGTCACTTCTTGAAGTAAAATCTCACTGTCTAGAATAGTAATGCTTTCAGTAAGAACATTTTCTTTTTAACATGACAAAATAAAAGAAAACTAGAGTATCTGAGTCCTGAATCAGCCACTCCTTTTCGATCTTGTTCATCAAGCAAAAGCAACAACTGATAGCTATTTGCAGTTTACAAAATTATGAGTGAATGTTTGAATTTAAACACCTGAGGTGATTGTAATGACATAAATAGATAATCCACTGTTGCCACTATAGATTATTCACCGTGCTAATATTTAAAGCAATACTATATTTTCTAGTTTTACTTTACTGATTTATATGAGGATTGAGGGGTATCCAACTTGGTTAAAGTGTTATTAATTTCTTGTTTCATATAAAATGATTTTAAAATTTTAATTTGTCATTTCTTTTGCTAAATATGGGACAATTAGGCATCTCGACAAAATTTGCCAGGACATTTCTTAAAAAGGGGAACAGCCCCGTATATATGGGACATCCGAAAATACTACGGATGAGTTATAAAAAAAGTTTAGCTTTTTTGAAAAAAATTTAAGTAATCAACCAAATACACTGTACTGATCCAAATATCTAATACTAAATACTGTATATTTCAGTAATTTCACCAGATTTTAATTTATAGCACTTATGATACCTACTTTCAGTTTGTTCTTGCAATATCATTATGTATTTGATCAGCATTTGTTTAAAAATATAAGGCAAACAAGATTAATCAAAATGGATTCTGACATTCCACATAACATTTTTTAAAATATCACAAACATCATAAACCAATTATATTGTCATGATATATTCTAATCAATTAAAGAATACAATTTACTATAATATAATTTCAGGAGTCTATTCTCAGTGATTGCAGGATTTTTATCCAATATTGTAAATTAGTTATAAATTAGACATAAGTCTGATTACAGTATTCTAATCCTAAGGTCTGTTCCTGGTTATATATTAACCAGGAGTTAAAGTAGTAAATATTTTGTCATAAAAATCAAAATTATTTTCTCCATATAAAATTTATATTTAAATATTAATTGTATAAATTTATTAATAAAGTTTTGAAGTATATTTTCTTTGTATATCAACAACTCCATAATTTCAATATTAAACAAGAATGCTAATAGTTGTAATGAAGACAGTTTATTAACATGATGTAATGAATTTTGAAAAATATTTAATCACATTTCCAGATCCAAAATGTTTGGAAAAAGAATATATAAAAAGGTTGTTCAAATTATATTGTTCTAAATACATGATGCATTCAAAGTGTATACCAATAATTGAGACTTTTTCCAAATCTTGATCATTTCATATATTCTCAATCAAGTAGGTAAATTTTTTCAGAACATTGTGCTTATCTAGATCAGGAAATGAAATGCATTTCAGAAAGCAATCACTTAATAAACTGATTTCTTTACAACTATTAGCATTCTTGTTTACTACTGAAATTATGGAATTGTTGATATACAAAGAAAATATACTTCAAAACTTTATTAATACATTTACACAATATTTAAATATAAATTTTATATGGATAAAATAGCTTTGATATAGTAGAACTTGATAATTAATGGACCAACTTGAAAAACTTCTTAAGCAAGAACCTTCTTGTACTGAAAAGAAAATATTGTGATAAAATTTTTCTTTCAATAATCAGGGATGCCCAGTGGATAATAAGGGCCTGGGACAAAATATATACATATTTTGTCCCATGCCCTTATTGGAGCCCTTATGGAGGGGCTCTATAGCAAATTATACTAATGGAAGTAAACAAAAATGCATTGTATAGGGTCCTCTATTTTCATGGTGCCCAAGGCAGTTTGCTCCTTTTCCTCCCTCTGGAGATCTCTATCAATAATCCATATTTATTTAAAAATGTTCTGATACATTACAGTGAATGAGGCTTATACATAAACAGATAGTGATTTATTATATAGATAGTGATTTATTATATAGATACTGATAGATCTACCAATACTGTACTAAAATTTGTTAAAGACTTACAGTATCATCTACGTATGATGGTGCTTGTCAGAACTTGCTGTTTGTTTCAAGCATTATTACTAGATAAATATATAAGAAAATTGTATAATCCTAAAGTTACATGCATCCTGACACCATTTTGGGTTTTCCTAATATTTTTTTTCTTTCTCCATATGCAATTAAATGTATAAAATTTTCAATAGTATGCAACTGAAAAACTTTTCAATCCATTTTCTGGTCATGGACAAGGATTTCCATCTATTTAAACAGGAAATTTTCTTAAATGAACATATTATATGGGAAAGATTTGTCTCTTAAGGAAAAACTTTGGACTTTTGAAATTAAACTTCTTACATGGGAAAACTTCTATTGCAAAAACTTCTTGACTATGTAGGCTGTAAATAATTAAGTTATCGAACACTATAGTCCTTGTTTGGTCAAAGTGGTTGGATTACGGTCGTACACAACAGATCTCCTCCAGTGCCAGATGAAAAAAGCGAGAATTTCTTGATATCATTGACGTCACCCTCGCGAGGCCCTCTGGTGGCATCAGTAGACGTTTGTGGCCTTAACTATATCATATAGTTTACTGTACTGTACAGAATGTTCTATTATATATCAGAGAGAAGCGCAGCCGGCCCTACCATAGGGCGAACGGAGCAGCCGCTCCAGGCGCTAAGTCCTAGGGGGCGCCTCAGTGGTAAAGAAAATTAAAGGGTATAAATTAGGGGCAACCAAGAGGGGTGCCATAATAGGATCTCGCTCCATCCTAAAACTTGTCTCTGGCCGGCACTGGAGAGAAGGTTCATGGTGTTAAATATGGAAATCTTTGATTTACATAGCAAAATTAAATTGTGTAAGATTATTAATTTGTTTAAACTATAATGTCTTTTAATGTGTATCTGTTATATTTTTAAATGCTGGATTTATTTTAAAATGTATTAGTAACTTATTTAACCCATTTTTTCTAAATTGAAACCTGTAAAAATATAGATAATCTGAATATCAATAATAATTATCTAGGAAATAGGATACAGAAAAATTATTCAAATTAGAATAATAATCAATTGATTATACTAAACATGGAAAATAATATAGCTATTCAAGTAGGTATTTTAACAGGTAAGTGAATCATTATTATTATTATTATTATTATTATTATTTCTTTTATTAAGATGCAAAAGTTGTTTTTATTGTTATTTCATAAATAAATTTTTTACGAGATAAATACTTAAATTTAGTTTTTCAGAGGTTTAATAAGATATAAATAGCTCATTTATAAAATCACAACTTGAAATACAGTATATTATATTTGTATTAATAAAATGCAATATTTTAAAGCCATTTTCTGATAGATGATTGCTATTAGAATATATTAAATATAATATAATCTTTTATCTTAAATTTTCTACAAGAGTGTCAACAATTTTAATCAAATGAAATTATTTTTACTGTTTGACTCTATCTAATCATGTAACTTACAGCATCATTTTTTAACTCATTAAAATTACTTTTAATTAGTTCAATATTATAATTTTAATCTAAATTAAGTATTATATTAATGTTCTTTAATATATTTTTAATAATCATAATGATATCTTATAATATTGTGTTTTAAAAAAAATCTATTTAGTTGAAGTGAATTTTTAAAAAGATTTTTAAGTTAATGAAATACTAAAAGTTATTTACTGTATATTTCATTCACATAAAAAGATAAAAAGAAAATTATTTCAACTGAACAGTTTTTTATTGAGTACAGTGGATGATTGATTAACAAACAAATTGGATAACGAACACTTTTGTGAAAGATTTTTATGTTCTGATAACGAACACCTCACAGAAAAGCAATCGACATTGGACTGATTCTTTAACCCCCACAAACGGAGAAAATATGACTTATAAAAATGCAAGAGTGTTTATATATGTATTTTTATTATTACATATAAATTAACATAGTAAGAAAGTATATATTTTTTATTTTTTTGGGGTCTTCAGAACGAATTAATCAAATGTTAAATCAATAATTGGTTGACGAACAATTTAGATAGCAAATGAAGTCTTGGAACAGATTATGTTCACTAATTGATCACCCACTGTATTTCATCTCATTACAGTGAGTGATTCATGTTTCAATAAGACAGCTGATGACAAAAGTGGTGATAATCTTGAGTCATTATTTCTTGCAAAATCATAGTAAGTATATGTTCTAAGTGTAATCTATAAACTTTAGAATAAGATACAAGAGACCATTCTAATACAAAAAATGTTTTATAATCTAAATGAGTTTTTACATTGAATAAAACTCAAATTTTTTTTTTTTTTTTTTTTTTACTTTTCCAATATTTTAAAGTAAATTTTCAAGACTACAAATTATAAATTCTTTATTACTATAATAAACTATTATAAATTATTATACTAAGAACAATGAAGACATTTATTGGTATTAGAAAGGCTTAGTTCATTCAATTTTGACTGTGTAGAAAATATGTCTAAAGTATTCAAAACTTTAAAAAACTTAAAATTTTTATTTTGGAAAATGTTAACTTTTATTAATTTTATTTTTTACAATATGCTGATTATGCTTTGAAAAATTCTATATGTTAACGTTTTAAACAGGAAATTAGAGTAATATAGCTTTTACTTTGAAATTCTGAAATATGTAAACTTTGATATTTAGTTTTAACAGTGAAATTGCTGTTAGATGCTGTATATCAGATGATTCTGAAAAAATTCAGGTAAGGGAATTTTATTGTTTGTTTTAGCTATATAATCTAAGAAAGACAAAACAAATTGTCCATAAATTATTTTAACAGAGACTAATTTAAAAATATTTCTTAAGTTTTGAAATTAAAATTGCAAAGTTCAATTATAATTGTAATTTTTAATACACAGAGTTGAAATTTAAAAATGTAAAACTAAAAAAAAAAATAAAATAAAATACATACTGAAATATGTAAATTTGTAAACTAATACTCCCCTATTTACAAACAGGTTAGGTTCTGAAAGTTTTGTTGTAAGTTGAAAGTACATTTGTACACAGAATAACCTCATACTGTTAGTCTTTGATCCTTCAATGTGCTTAATAGAATACATTACACTCATTTATCCACTTACTACTACTTAGTATCAAGTGTTTCAAATGTGATTTTTTTTCATCTAATGCACTTTGTTTTATAATGTCCAGTTTAGTTTCCACAGTAACAGAGCCAAATGTCTTGCATTTATCTCAACTGCTAGATTAACTATTACTTTTTGAGCACATTTTAGAAGCAATAATTGTAAAAGTTTATAAAAATTGCAAACAATAGCAAAAAAATGCTGTTACTCCAACATTACTGACTTCAATGCCATGTCACAAGTTGCAGTGGAACCTCAGAATATTTACGGAAACAAAAAATGATGGTACACAAAAGAAATAATCTCACATTAATTATTTATTACTAACCAGTAATAAATGCACCCCATTAGTAGCAAGAGAACTTCAAAGTTTCAAATCAAGTATCTTTATTATATTAGGTTATTGCCTGTTACAATAGTGTGTATAAAATTAGTATAAACATTTAATTTTACTGTTGTATTATCCCATTATTTCCAACACAAATTAGTTCATACATTAACATTAATCAAAATTAATAAAGCATTGTCTCTGTACTTATTAAGATATACATTTTTGCTATTATTGACACAATAATTTAAATTTACATATAATAATATATTCATACAATAAATTTTTGAAAATAGTTGTGTAAATCATATATAGTTGTAGTTTTTGCAGTATGAAAAAAGAGAGTTTTTTTTAGAATTTCAGAATTTGCACAAAATTAAAATTTTAGACATACAGTCAAATTGTTCATAAGTCTGAAAGTTCATAAGTTGTATGTTTGTAAGATGTTTGTAAGTAAGGGAGCTCCTATAAATGAATTTATTGCTTCTGACAGTGACATATGTAAGTCTAATATCTTTCTTAGGTTACATTTAGTTTAAAATATGATTAGTTATCAAAATAATTATGTTGTTATGAGTTAGTTAAACTGTATAGGAATGTCATTAAATGAATACATGCCAACATGTGGAAATCTATAGAATTAATTTATATGCCTCTATGTCCTTATTTTCTATTTGCTATATATTTTGTCTACAAGGACTTAGCCTATTAATAGGACATATTACACTGGTGTTTTGGCTTTAGCAATCGAGGAAAAAATCTGTGGCGACCAATTTCGCACTTCGTCCAATCGCCACCAGAGGGAGTTCGGAGGTTTTAAAAGACCGATTCGAACACGTGCCTTCGTCCTTTTGTCGACTCCTCGTCTAGAGTACGGACTCCTATTCAATTGTGCTACCTGAACTCTTTTGTTGGCAACTAGTCGCCACAAATCTTATTCAGGGAAACAATCTTTATTGATCCTCAAATCAGGTATAATACAAGGTGATCAATAATGATTGATTGTTTCCCTGAATAAGATTTTTTCCTCTATTTGCTAAAGCCAAAACACCAGTGTAATACATCCTATTAATAGGCTAAGTTCTCGTAGACAAAATATATAACAAATAAAAACACTATAGTATTAGTTTTGAACTAATAAATAGTAAATGATTCTAACAAAAATTATTTATTGTGAAAAGTATAATTTTAAAGACGATAAAAGATTTATTTCTCATATTTTTAATTAGAACAAGTAGTCAATTATTATCAAAGTTTAATTTTTGCATTATTATTTCAGACAATATTAAAAGACTGGTGTGATCATAAAGGCCTAGATTTGATATTAACTGTTGGAGGAACTGGATTTACAGAAAGAGATGTTACACCAGAAGTAATTATTTTCATAATTATTTTATTTCTGTTGTGTTTGTTTTTGTTACCTTTTATTATTTATCTTCAATGTAAGACAAAGCATTTATATTAAAACATAACTATAGTAACATACATTTTTATTTTTAAAATTATCATGCACATGAATTAATTGATGATAATTGATGTAAAAAATTTTGTTCTTTTATATGATTAAATTCACTAAAGTGTAAAAAAAGAATTAAAAGTATACCATATAAATATTTTATATTGTAATTTTTATTTGAAATGGTTGTAGTTGTCCATTTTATTTGCATTTTCAATTATCTTGGTAGCATTCATCCATGTAACCTTGGATAATTGAGGTTATTATTATTATTATTTATAAATTATACAATATGTATTTCAGAAAATGTCAGCTACTTTGTTAATGTCATTACATTGGGATCCCACCTTTGTAAATAAACATGTATTTTATTACCATAAACTGCTCTACAGCAAATTTATACTTGTGAGATAGAAAATTTTGTAAATCAAAATTTGATTTTATCATCTACAAGTCATTATTATTATTATAAATTTATTTTTTGCACAGAATCAAATATTTATATTTTGAGTTTAAGCAAATGATGATAGAAATGACATTTTTGTTGTGTTGACACAACTTTACTTTTAGTGATCTAACATTTAACTCTGGTATCATTTAAGATATGATTAATTTTAATTTTTTTTTTAAATTTTATAATATTTAAACATTACTGTTTTTCTATAGGCTACAAAGGCAGTAATAGAAAAAGATGCACCTGGTATAAGTATAGCAATGGTTCAAGGATCACTAAAAATTACTCCATATGCAATATTATCTAGGTAAAAATTAATAGTTTAAATTTCCATTTATATATATATATATTACTTGAAAAAATTTTTTAAAGTGGAGAGAATTTGAAAAATTTCTAATTTTATTTAAAATTTAATATGATCTTATGAATAAATATTTATATAAACCTACCAAACATTGGAAATTACAGACTGTACTGTGAGATCTGCGTGTTATACAGAGACATACAATCCAGATTAGATAAAATAAAAATACAATTATTTATTAACACGCTAGTTCAAATACAGGTTCATAGGATACCAACAATCCTAGTCATATTTCCCGAACCGAACATTCGATTAATTAAAATTATCTTACTTAATACTAGGTTCCTATTACTACTTAAACTAATTGAATATAGCCAGCTTATTCGAAGATTTAGAAGGTGAAAGAAAAGAATAAGGAAAGAGGGTACCCAAAACTTGATGATGCAGGTTGAATTGTGTGGGCTCGTGGATGAGGCTTCTCGTCGGTCTGGGGGGGCTGATTCACTCAATTCTTGTTTTACACTGAGATGTTAATCCAAAACGGGCAATCCGTCTGGTTCCTCTCAACTAAGTTCCTTTTTCTTTCTCTCGTTCTAAAGTCCTCTTTTTCTTTTCTTACCATACAATGTCAAACTTACAGGTGAGGCTTTCCATTCGATCTCCCTTTTCCACTTCCTTCCTCTCAGTCTTCCGTCCTTTCCCTTCTCCTCTCACTTCCCGTCTGCCCTCGTTTCTCCTCTCTCCTCTCTCTTCATTCTCCCCCTTCTTAACTCCCCCCTCATTCCTCCTCTCACTTTAGTCCACTCATATCCCCTCTCAAAAGCTTTCCATTCATTCCTTTCCTCTCAGTCCACCCACACACTCAAGTCAATGGGAAGACAATAACATTATAGAAGAGTAAACAAATAGGACAGACGAAGGTGAAGTGAAGATATATATATATATATATATATACAAATCATACAGTTTAAAATATGGCGTGTAGCCACAGTACAAATATAATCTACAATTTTTAGCTGTGTACTTCATTTATATATGTACTGTATTTGAATATAGTTTGTTCTGTATGTTTAAATATTTATTCAAAGATAACAACACACCTTATATCAAGAATTGTAATAGAAGAAGAAAACTGACTGTAGGCATTAGAAAAACATTTAATAAAAAAAAAATTCAAATCATCCCATTTTGGTGTAATTCTGTTTGAAAAGTTTAAAGAGCTGTTATATGTCAAACCTATATTTCAAATATAGTACTTTTTTCCAAATTCTTTTTGAATGTATTAAAGAAGTATTTCGAATTCTGTGTGAGTTCTATTTGAATTCTAACTTTTCTGAAGACAACATTAATGCAATATTGAAAGTACTTAAAAGTCTTGCTTGATATTACATGTTTTTCTAATTCAAACAGACAGTTTGTGTTTTTTCTCTTTATTATAAATATTTATTTCTTGTGATTTTAATTTCTTATTTTTATAAAATATTTTTATTTATTTTTAATTTTAAGTATTTTGTATGACCGAAAACCATCAATCAAACTCAGCATTTTATACTTAACGAACTATCAAACCACATTCTATTGTTCAAAAATGTTTTATTGAACAAACATTTGTTCAATGTTTTCAACCTAATGCAATAGGTGATCTTCAGGAGTAAGCAAATTCAAAATGCCTTTAAAATGGAATATTTTAACAAAGGAACAGTTGAACTCTTATATTTAAATTTAAATCAGTTGTGGTGCTCCTTTTCAATTGTCATACTTATGCTCTTTGAGCCTAATTGCTAGATTCCTTTTCATGACCCAAACATGGCTCTTCTTTATTCCTAACTGCTGATTTTCAAATGGAATTCTGTATACACACCTGATTTTTCTTCATTTCTGAGCTTATCTTTATCATTTTTAAAAATACTGTATAAATTAAAAGCCCTTTTGAAAACTATTGTGGTGTGTTTTTGTTTGCCACTTGTTTCATAATGTTTCTGATGTTTTTATGAAACAAGTGACAAACAAAAACACTCCATAATTGTTACAGCACAAGTTATTATTCACTGCTGTACAAGTGTCATTGCATTTTTAATGTTGACTGATGAGGGGCTATACGCCCGAAACATGTAAAAGTGCCCGTATCAACTGAATAAAGTGGATAAACGCCAAGTGTTTTAATAATAACACAGTCTTGTGTTCAATAGTAAAATAAATACGAAAACATGGTTTTAAAAAACGAATCAAAAACATTTCTCAGCAACAGGTGGTGGTTTGATAGTTCATTTTGTATGATATTGATTTTAAAATTCAAACATATTAAAAACAAAAAATCTTGTTTTTCATAATCTATATTATTATAGATTATGAAAAACAAGATTTTTTTCTGATTCAGAAAAAATATTTTATGTAGCCAAGAGCAAATAATTGAATCCAAAGAATCGCTTGATGATAAAAATTAAAATCTTTAATATTTACAATTAATAACAATTCTTTCCCAAGAAATGATGTGCAAAACTTACAACTTATGAATATACAAATATATGGGACCAACACTGACAATAATATCAAATGAGTTCCACGTGCCAACAAACAAAGGAACTTAATCTAGCTTATTTCTAACTTAATTCTATCTTAACTAAAATACAATATAAAGACCCCTGGATCAAGATGGGGCTGTTAAGAAATCAGAAGATCTGATTTAGATAGAAAAAAAGGGAAAACCAAAAGGGGAATGGCTGGCAGAAATAAACCTTGAATCTGTACTTCAAAAAGGGTTTCTTTTCTGTTATGTAGACACACGTTCTCTCCTCTCCAGCTCCTCTCTCCAAAAGATGATCGTCCCCTGGTGCATTCCCTACCTCTCCTTTTATGCCAGTCTCTTTTGACCAATCCAGTGTTGCCTCTTTTGTTTTAGAGACACATCAGACCATTGGACCAACCAGTCAGGGCAAGGCCAGATGAACAAAAGCCAGAAGTAAAGTTTTGAATGAAAGTGGTGAAAGAGAAAAATAACAAGGCTTAACCAAGCTACATTCACTAGATGATTTGGTTTTGATTTAACAAATGATGAGGTTTAACATTAATTCTTTTTCTTATCACTGCTTAAAAAATGTTTTCTGGACAGTTTTCTGTCTCTGAAAAATTTGAAGGCTTTGAACAGTTAACAAATTAAGTCAAATTCTCTGTAACAGCACTAGCTAAATGAACATTAATAATTTTTCTTTTTTAGATGTTCATTAAAAATCCTTATAGTTCCTATTTTCATTTCAACTGAATTGTGAGATCTGGAATTTTATTAACTAAAAGTTTAATTATTTTACTTCTGTTTATATAATGGATTCGAAAAAAAAAAACGATCTTAGCCAGGAATGTGTAAACCCTTCTGTCATAACTATCAACATTCTATTGTTCTCACATAGTTTGCAGCTCAACTTGCACAAAAGTTTATAGTTAGCATCTGAATTTCGTCACTTGTTTTAAGTCCCTGGAACACCTATAACCTTTATCTCATATAACATCTGATCACGTGACCAATTTTCCCAGCAAAAACTTATAAAAGATGTTTCCTACTCCCACTCGGGGGGAGTCTCTGAACGAAAGCCGGACCGACAACATCAAGTTTGTCTCAGAACCGAGAAAATTCAGATTCTCTAACAATGATCCTCGTCTGTCTCCACAGTCACAAATTTTTATATATGTGCTAAATTGTGGATTATCCTAAACTCATCATTTGTTGGATATCTATGTGCATTACGGAATCTTCGTGGAAACCTACGAAAATGTATGAAAAGGTGTGTAAACTCTCTCTCGACCTGTTAGGCGGTTTAGAGTCCGGATTAGTATCTATAGTTTTGTCAATTTAGTTTATTTTAATAAAGTCTTGTTTTATTTGTTAAAATGGTAGACTCCTTTACTTGTATACGGCTTTCACCTTATTGTCGACCCCAAATACTCTCCCTCCACTCGACCGACATTTGAGAGTCCCAACCCTTGGGACCAGTAATAGTAAAGTTAGCCATCTTGACAAGTGAGCAGGTTTTACAACCTGTTGCCTGAACAGGGAGGTGAGACTGACCCTGACTTTCCTGGCGGTTTCCACTAATTAGTTGCTTTCTTATAAGATCACATATGTCACTTTTTAAATTAACATGTGTATTTGTATAAAGTTTCACACATGATCCTAAATGATACCAATAAAGCAACTAATTAGTGTAATTAAGATCACTTTATCAATTTTATATCTTACTTTATGTAGACAAATAGATATTCTTGACTAATGAAGAAAAACTAATAATAAAAAAAGTTGAAAACATTTAGCATATCATCCTCATGTTATAATAAGAAACTTTAATTTGGAAGTATCAATACAAAAAGCAAAACGTGATCTTTTAGAAAAAAAAAAACCAATTCAAAGCAAAATATTTATTGAGAATAGCTTAGAATAAATGAATTCTTATCAGATATCTTGTCTTTAATCTGATATCTTTAAAGAAATATTCCTAATTAAATTTAAGAGTCATGAATTAGAAGTTATACCTGTCTTATGTTTGTAGAAATCCAACAAAGAAACTGAGTTAACATGTTCTTTTCTCAACATCTTAAATTACAATAGCTAGTTCAAATAAATTAATCAAAAATTCTTAANTAATATTGGGTTTTAAAAAAAATCTATTTAGTTGAAGTGAATTTTTAAAAAGATTTTTAAGTTAATGAAATACTAAAAGTTATTTACTGTATATTTCATTCACATAAAAAGATAAAAAGAAAATTATTTCAACTGAACAGTTTTTTATTGAGTACAGTGGATGATTGATTAACAAACAAATTGGATAACGAACACTTTTGTGAAAGATTTTTATGTTCTGATAACGAACACCTCACAGAAAAGCAATCGACATTGGACTGATTCTTTAACCCCCACAAACGGAGAAAATATGACTTATAAAAATGCAAGAGTGTTTATATATGTATTTTTATTATTACATATAAATTAACATAGTAAGAAAGTATATATTTTT